TCTACCTCTGTTGGCTTTTCGCTGCTTGGCGTTTGTCCGCCCTGAGTGTTTGGGGGTTTTCCTCCCTTGTTTACCTTGGGGTAAGTGGTAGTTATAGCACTGGTGGGGCACAGGGTACTGCGTAGCTAGTTTTCACCTATAACAGCGGCCGGCTCTGTTCCCTCTGGGTACGTTGTCCACTTGGGTGGTTTTTCTTTTCTTTTTGTTTTTGCCTGGTGGGGGGGGGGTCTGCCTTGTTTTTCCCTCCCCTTATATTCAGGTCGTTTGTGTGGTGGCACCCCCTACTTCGCCCTCGTGAGTGGACACGTCCCGTGGGTTCAGCTTTTAGCAGATTGCTTGGTAGTTTGGGTCGCCGGTTAGCAGTGCCCTGCCTGGGATAACCCTTAGCAGACCCAGTCTAGGGGCCCTGGGAAACCCCGCGGGGGCTCTTGGGTCCGATGGAGGAGACCCTTGCGTCCCCTCTCGCTGTGTGCGAGTTTGAGGGTTGCTTTGTCCCCTTGTCTCAGGGTGACTCTCATTGTTTTTGCCTTCATCATGCTGCCTGTTGGGTCGGTGACACATTCGACCCTTGAGTCCTGCGAGCTGTGTTGCTTGTTTGTGACTCAATTCACCCAGTCTGCTGATGAGTTACTTCGGGTGCAGGCAGCTCGTGCGTTGCAAGGTAGGTTTAGGTTATTGCAAAGCGTGCGGGTTATTGCTTCCCCGGACGCCCCGCGGCTGCCCCGGACCCACCCTGGCCCCTGCGGCTGTTACAACCCGCTTTTGTGACGTATAGGTTGACCCAGACTGGTTGGGGTTAAAACTGTTGGTCGCTTCGGCTTTGTTTTTTCGCCGTCCGCGCCCCCTTGTTCTTCCCCTTCGGTGGTTCATTCTGTCCCCCCCCCCCTGCTTCCAGCCCCTAAGCGTCTGAGGGCTTCGGGGTCAGGGTGGGGTTTAGAGGTTTCTGAGACTCGGGCAGTTTTGGGGGTTGCCCCGTCCGGGGATTCAGGCGGCTTCTTCCTCTTGCCGCCCTATGTCTGAGTTGTTGGTTCTTCGGGGGAACAGGGGGGTTCCTTCCCGGCGGGGTCGTACCAGGGCGCACAGTTCCGTTCGTCGGGGTGGGCCACAGGTGTCGGGTTCGGTGCCGGTGTCGCCTGCGGTCCCACCTGTGCTTGGTCGGCGCGGTGTTCGCTCTGCACGCAGGTCGGGTTCTCGTAAGGGGCAGCGGCTCTTTCGCGGTTCGCCCCATTGACGGGGCGATGGGGGGAGGCTGTCTCTGTTCGCTCACGCCTGGTCTCACGATTTGTGGGCTTTTCAGGTCGTTTCTCGCGGCCTGCGGTGGCGTTGGGTGGCTCCGCCTCCTGCGGGGGGTTCGGGGCTGACGGGGCAGGCTTCCTCTCCTGCGCTCCGTCGGGTCATCTTGGAGTGGGTGCGCTTGGGCGTGGTCGAAACGACTCCGTCCCTCAGGTGGGTTTCCCGCCTGTTTCCAGTTCCGAAACGGGACTGTGCAGACCTGCACTTCATTCTGGACTTGTCCCGTCTGAACCCTTGGGTTTCTTGCCCCTTGTTTCGGATGACCACTCTGTCCCAGGTCCGACTTCTGTTGGAGCCGGGCGCTTGGATGGTGTCCCTGGACCTCAAGGACGCGTATTGGCACGTCCCTAATCATGTGGGGTTCCGGGACTGGCTCGGTTTTGTTGTGGGGTGTCAGTGCTACCGCTTTCGTTGTCTCCCCTTCGGGTTGAACCTGGCACCTCGCGTGTTCACACGCCTTACCTGGGTCGTGGTGGCCCGTCTGCGTCTCTTAGGTGCTCGGGTGTTGGCTTACCTCGATGACTGGCTGGTTTGGGCTCTCAGTCGGTCTGCGTGTCTGCTTGCCAGGGATTTGGTGCTTTCCCAGCTCGCCAGGTTCGGGTTCCTGGTAAACTGGCGGAAGTCCCATCTGGTGCCCTCCCAGGTTCGGTCCTGGCTGGGTCTTGTGTGGGACTCTCGGACCGCTTCCTTGTCTCTTCCTCCGGAGTCTCTCCTTCGGCTGCGGTCTCGCCTGGGTCTGTTTCTGGGAGGCTCCCGGGTCACCCGGCGGTTGCTCGAGAGTTGTGCGGCAGCCTGAACTTCGCGATATTGGTCTACCCGCCGGGTCGGGTTTGGCTTCGTCAGCTGTTCTGGTTCCTTCGGGAACGTTCCTTCCGCCTCTCTCGTGATCGCTGGATTCGACCCCCAGGGGCTTTGTGTCGGCTGCTGCTTCGCCGGCTTCCTCTTTGGGTTTTTCGGGGTTCAGTGCCTTGGTGCCTACCCGAGCCTTCGCTCGATGTGTTCACGGACGTGTCGTCTCTAGGCTGGGGTTTTGTGACCAGTGCTCACCAGGCCGGCCAGGGGCAGTGGGGTCCGTCCTTCCGTCGGGTCCACAGCACGGTGCGGGAGTTCGCGGCGGTATGGATTGCTCTTCGGAGGGTTCGGGTCGCCCGCAGATCGACGATCCGGCTCCATTCCGACTGCTCCCCGGTGGTTCATTGTCTGAACCGAGGGGGTTCGATGCGGTCCTTGGGTCTTTGGGGTTGGTCGCTTTGGGTGATTCGTCTGCTGAGTTCTCGGGGTTTGGCTCTCCTGGCGGTTCACGTCCGAGGGTTGTCCAACGTCCTGACGGACGGCCTGTCCAGGTTCGTTCCCCTGTCCATGGAATGGACGGTCGATGCCGGCTCCTTCCGTTGGCTCTGCAGGACGTTCGGGCGCCCGGAGGTGGATCTCTTCGCGTCGGCGTGGTCGAAGCATCTTCCGGTTTACGTGGCGCCCTTCCGCGACTGAGAGGCCGTCGGGATCGACGCCTTTCGGCAGGACTGGTCGAGGTGGGGGGGTTCCTGTACCTCTTTCCCCCGGTTCAGCTGCTGCTCCGGGTCTTGGCTCGCTTGGAGACTTACCAGGGTCGAGTGGTCCTCTTGGCCCCTTGGTGGCCGGCCCAGCTGTGGTTTCAGGCGCTGGTTGCTCGGTGTCCGAACCCGGAGGTTTTTCCGCGGCTCCGCCTCTTTCAGGAGATCGGGCCGGTCCGGTACGTGACTGGTTCGCTCTTCTCCGCAAGTCTTCGCGTTTGGTGTTTTTGACTCGTGTTTATCACCATCTTTATGGTGAGCAGGTGGCTTCCTTGTTGGTTTCTCACCTGCGAGTTTTCTCTCAGCGGCAGTATGAAGTTTCCTGGCGGTCCTTCCGGTTCTTTTTGACCCTTCGTCGTTGTTCCTCGCTTTCGGTTCGGGTGGTGTTGTCCTTTCTCTCTAGATTGTTTCAGGACCGTCATCTGATGCCTAATACTGTCGCCTCGTATTGTGCGGCACTGGCGAAGCCGCTGCAGCTTGCTTTTGGTATTGATGTTACTTCTGAGCCATTTCGCAAGCTGTCTCTGGCGTTGTTTCACCTCCGGCCTGCTCATGCGCCGCCCGAGCCGTCCTGGTCCTTGGACAGAGTGCTCTTCTATCTTTCCACACCTCGGTTTGTTGTGGCCCCTTCAGTTCAAGATTGCTTTGCTAAAGCTCTTTTTCTGTTGGCATTAGCCTCTGGGGGTCGCGTGGCAGAGCTTCATGCTCTTCTCCGGCGCAGAGGTTTTTGCTCCTTTGGTCGTGGTCTTCGGTTTGTTCGTTTGCAGCCGTCTCCCTCTTTTCTGGCGAAGAATGAGACTGCTGCTTTCCGGAGGGGTCCTTGGGTTGTTGATGCGTGGTTTGTCAGGCCGGGGGTTCACCATGTGTTGTGTCTGGTTGCGGCCCTCCGCCGTTATCTGCGCGCCACGGCTTCTGTGTCCAGGGACGCGCTTTGAGTTGATCCGGTTTCCCTTCCCTGTTCGCGGGTTCTTGTCTCTCAGGTTGTCCGCAGGGTTATTAAATCCAGCCAACCTGCGGTCTATCCCCGTGCCCATGACGTTCGTAAGTTCGCTGCTCTTGCTGCCGACTTCGGCAATATGTCTTGGGCTGACTTTCAGACATGGGGATTTTGGCGGTCGAACAGGGCCCTGGCTGCACGCTACCTTGTTAACGTTCCTGGGCCCGGTCGGGCCTGTGTTGCCTTAGGTCGGCGGTTGCAGCCCATTGTCTCGGCTTCATCTTGAGGTGTGGAGCACCGACCGCCTCCCGGGTAAGTGCCCTTGGTTTTCTTGGTAGTCTTTGGTGAGGTAGCTCCGGGGAACCGCAGGGGCTCCCCCCAGAAAACCAGCGTTAAATGTAATGAAACGCCATTTTCTGGGTGAGTCCCAGAGGCTCCTCGGCATCCCTCCCGCCCTCCTTTTGGCGGTTTTTCGCGGTTTTTGATATCCAGCCTCAGAACTGGGGTGGATCGCCGGCTTGGGGGTCTGGGGCTTCCCCTTCCCCCTCCCGGGGAGGGGGGAGCTGCGCAGACATGCGGTGCGGCTCGTGTGACATCATGCTGGTTTGCTCGTTTTTCTTTTGGGGAGTTCTGTCCACTCGTTTGTCAATTTTTGTTGTTAACCAGAATAGGGGTTTGTTTTGGGGCGCTTACCTTTCTGGGTGCCTGTCCCGGTCGATGGCAGATATGGAATGCTCCAAATCACATGTACATTCTATGGGCCATTGCTCCTTGTGCCTCTGTGAGGGGGCCAGGTTCTGGCTCGTGGTCCCTGGTAGGCTAGAACTCCACCCACATCGACTGATGCAAAATAGTTAGGATATCCATATCAGCCATGGATAGCTCCGGGGAGCCTCCGGGACTCGCCCAGAAAATGGCGTTTCATTACTGTACATTCAATGCTGTTTTTTTTTTTATTTGGTAATATCCTGTAGTTAATTGCTAGAGTTCTAAATACATTATTACTGCAGCTCTTATCACTTGCATATTACATTTTAGGTCTGTAAAATATCCATTAACAATTTCTGAGCCTGCTTATTTTTGCTTCAGATTTTAATTATGAACCCAGGAAGTCTTCCTCGTGCATGTGGGTGGCGCATTGCACGCAGCTTGGTGGGTGCAATCCGGAATCTCTCAATCACCGAGCAGCAGGATAGGGTAGGATTTTATAGTTATTGTGAAGATTTTGCAATAAAAGTATATTATACAGTTTCCCAGTGCATAGTCTGTGGGGTCAAAAAGACCAAACAGAAACCCAACAAACAACATGTGAGGACAAAGCTAGGTTTCTAATATGCACAACAAAATAACAACATATTAAAGCAAAAGATAAGGTAAGAAATGCAAAATAGACCCAGTGGAGATGGCATACACACTGTATAAACATAAAAGATCCATGGCTCATCAATATCCTCCCTGCAAATACAAGAAATATGGCCTGGAACAAAAGTGAACATGTTCCAAAAACAATTAGAAAAGTTCCTGCAGGTGGTGCTGGATCAGTTCGGTTGTAATGGATAAATGGGCCTGCGGACTGCCCTAAGCAACAGCCTTTTAGATAAAGTTATCACAAGTTGATGCTGCCGCCGGCTACGCTTGGGAAGTAGAACAACTCTCAGAACCCTCTTCAGGTATACTTCAGGTAAGCACATAGCATGCAAGGCCATGAATGAATATGAAGACAAAGCCTGTGCGGCAGAACTCTTAAGTAAATATAACAGCCGAAGGCAAAATAGACTTTTACACAGGCACCAGTTGAGAATGAAGCACTGATGCCCTCACATTCAGAGTGAAATCGGGGGGAAGGGTTTGATCCTGTCATCAGCACGAGGTAGTCTCACAGTCGTTGCAGCGTTTTCTGGCTTTCAACCAGCCATCATCCATTTTTGTTTCTGTGGTCTTGTTATTTCTGGAGTGGTTGTTCATTGAACACCACCTAATGGCCAACACAGTATCCTGTTCCTCCATCTCTGTTCTTTGCATTCATCCATGTAGCATACTTCATATTTTGATGATCTGGTTGTCCTTTCCTTGGTGTGGGTGTCTTTGTTTAAGGGCATTTACCTGAAGGTATAAGGTCACCAGGTTCTAAGCCATACACTGGAGCACAAACTATCGAAACTCAACCATTACTGCATGCAGGCGATGAGTCACAATAACGTGGCTGAAGTATGTTGACCAGACCACACACTAGAAAGTGAAGGGATGGCAATGTTTTGGTCCATCCTGGACCATTCTCAAGGTGGTTGGTAGCGCAATCGACTTGAGAATGGTCCAGGACAGACCGAAACGTGAGGAGGGGGTGGAGGCCAAAACCGTCAGTAGTTTCAAAACATTATATGACAGAGTACTGGGAAGATGGGACACCACGAGCCTAGCGCTCGTCCTGTAACTACTTAGGTAATTACATATTCATCATGAAATGGACCCCTTTCCTTACAAAGGTTCATGTTGGTAGCTTTGAACAGCTTTTTCCTATCTTTGGGGGTAGGGGGGGGGGGCATTTTGATCCCAGCAACCTGTTTGCAGATGTAGCCTTTTCCAGTGGTTTTCTAGAAACAAAATTAGTCATATTTCACCATGGGCCTATTCATGTTTACACATGGTCCTATCCATTGTTGTCATGATAATCTGTGCCGTATTGCAGTATTATACTGGTGTGTCACGGCTTCTCGCTAGTGTCACTGATATTTTGTTTAAAAATATGCCACACTATGTTCCCTTGTACTAAGGCTTAGTCTCACTGCTGCTGTATCAGGTGATGAGGTTTGATTGCATCCTTACAGCTGTTCTTTCATCTGTAAATGTATAGGAACCCTTATCAACCATCCAATTCCTCTTGGTACAAAAAGGCTTCTGTGTTGTTGACCAGACCACACACTAGAAAGTGAAGAGACGACGACGTTTTGGTCCGTCCTGGACCATTCTCGAGTTGAGTGAGGTCTGGTCAACATATTTCAGCCACGTTATTGTGACTCGTCGTCTGCTTCTGTGTTGTGTGCACTGCATCACCTCATCCTCCTGGCCCTTTTATCTTGCGGTACTTTCTTGGGCAAGTTTCTTCTTCTTACGTTTGGTGGGGTGTTGGCCAGGAAGTAATTGAGGGAACCTTGCTCATAAATAGGGCATTAAGTGGAATTAAACTGACATCCATTAAACTCCATTCTATGGGATCCCTCAGCTGCTCCTGCTCTTGAGGTTCGTTCTATCCCTAGCATATTTGGGGGCTTGAGCCTTAAGTGACCCCTTAGTGATAACTTGGACGCAGGCTCAAATCCTCGTCACGGCCCTTGTGGATTTGTTCAAGTGATAACTAGTACTGTACCAACCACCACCTGGTGGTGGT